ATCTTTTAGAGAGAAATGATAATTTATTCCCCAGTAACGGTTGCTGGGAACAGAGCACCTGAAAAACAGATGTGATTAAACATGAATTAAATTAACGTCACCTTTCAACAGAAAATAGGGAAAAGCTTCCAAATACTGTGTGCATATGTATGTGTGCATGCATGTGTGTATGAGTGTGTTCGTGTGCACAGGTATATGTGCGTGTGTGTATACGTGTATGTGTGCATGCGTGTGTGCATGAGCGTGTATGTGTGCACAGGTATATATGCGTGTGTGTATACGTGTATATGTGCATGCGTGTGTGTATAAGCGTGTATGTGTGCACAGGTATATGCGCGTGTGTGTATGCGCACACATGTGCGTGCCTGGGCTGGTGTGTGTACATGCCCGCACACACATTCTGTTGACCTGGGAAAGGCCTCCACGAAGGAAGGGACAGCGATGGGAAGCCAGAGGCGCCGCCCTCTATGCAATTGGATGTGAGCTGGGATCTTACACACTGCAGCACGTTTAACGCTCTGGAGGGGCCCGTTTCTCAAAGAAGCTCTTTGGAGAGTATATATGCAGACTCCTTTACAATGTGAATAATCATCTCCTAATTGAGAGACGATTCCTGTTTGGGAAATTAATCTTCTGTTTTCTTAAAGTGTGGCATAGAGTTTGGGGAAATAGGGTTGGTGGCTAATGCCTGTTTTAGTGCTTAGAAACATACCTGAGGGGATTGGTTGAATAAATTACGGTACTTCTACGCAATGACATAGTATTCAATCACTAAAAACGAGGTGAATATCAATCTAGAAATATGTTCCTGAAACTACTGTTAAGCAGCAAGAACAACAACAAAAAAACCCATGTTACAAAACAATAAATATAGCATGATCTCACTTCAGCAAAATGTTTTGTATACTCTCAGGTGCAGAAAACTACCTGGAAGATTACAAAACGCTGAGGTGTAAGCAGCGGTCACTTCTGATGGTCGGATGCTGAGTGCGTTTTCTCCTTCATTTCTCTTGTTTGTATTTTCTACAGTGAACATCTATTGCTTATGTAATAATGAAAAGGTACAAGAGTTCATTTTAACTTAAAAAGAAAAAAATGTATCCTCCTGAAGGTCTTTAAACCCTCCTGGCCCTCCTAGCAGGGGGAGGAAGCTGAAAGGGTGATGGAAGAGAAGACAAGGGGGACAAACCAAGGGCCACCATCCTTGGCTCCAACTCTGAAATTCTCCGAAGGTGCTGGTGGCCCTCAGGCTGCAGCAACGAAGTCACCCTGAAGTCTGGGGGTCTTGTTCCGGGGGCAGGATGTGTCCACATCCCTCACGTCTGTGGGAGAACCAAGTTCCTCACCTCTTTCCCTTGGCTCCTGCCTCACACCATCTCTCTTGGCATATTCATTCCTTGGACACCGAATGAGCCCCCTGTGCAGACGCAGCAGGGGTGGGCGGGGGTCTGAGGCCCAGCCAGGGTAGCAGACAGTGGTCTGACTGTTTCTAATCAATCATCAACTGTTCCTGGATGGCAGCCCCGGGTGGCCTAGTTCCTGAAGACAAGGCAGACAAAGCCCCCGGCCTCTGATCTTGCCACACATCTTCAGGAGCACACCGGCCCCTGTGAAATCAGTTCATACCCCCACTTGTCCAGCCCCAACAGGTGGACCAAGTGGACAGGACTGCTAATCACGGAAAGAACCACTTTTGCTCCAGTGGCAATTGGAACAATGCCGCCATCCCTCAGAGGTCCTGAGTGGGATTCGGGAGAGCTGCCGCCATGCGTGGCTGTGGGTCTTGGGGCAGGTCCTGGGCCTTTAATAGCCCAATCTCCTTCTCGGTCAAAAAAGGAGGGAGTTGGACACGATGATGCCCGGGCTCCTCCCAACTCAGACATTCTATGACATTCTATGGGTGTGACATAGTGTGACATGGTATGACTTTCTACTTTGAGAGCAACCGGACCACAACAGCACCCTTTCCCTACTTCTCTCATATTTCAGGATTAGGGGGGGATTTTTGAGACAGGAAATCCTCGCCAGTTTGGATCCCCCCCTCTCCCGCCCCCACCCCTCCCCCACAAATGCCACAGCTCAATTCCATGAAAGGCCTCTAGTGTTGACTCCAAACCAAGGACAGAGGCAGACTCCAGTGACAAGGCCCTCACTCAGCTCCCGACCCCTGGAGCTCCCACCCTGGAGGGCCCACTCTCTGTCCTGCACAAGCCCTCACCCGAGGAGGTCAGTCTGGGGCCAACACTCCCACAGCCAGACACGTACCCCGTCCAGGCAGTTCACGAACAACCACTCCTGTGAGTCCTGCTCTGAGCCATGGGTCAGGAGACCTGGAGGAGGGGAATTCCAGTCCCAGCCCCTCACAGACTCGTATGCGGGGCCCTCATCTGCCATGGGGGTGATGATTCCAGCAGGGCTGGGTGAGGTGTAGCCACTGCAGCAAATGTGAGCCCTGGCAGAGTGATGGGCTCCCTCAGCAGGAGATTCCGAACTCGTCTTTCAGGAGAGGCCAAGTGCCCCTCCCCCAGGCTCCCTCTCCTTCTGAAGAGCCACACCAGGGCGGCTGCTGCTACCCTTTGTAGGGCCCTGTGGGTCCCAGAGCACAGGAACGGCGCAAGAAGGCCTGTCCGAGCCCTGCTGTGACATCTACCACTGGCATGAAGGGACAGTTTGCTCCTGTCTCTCATTCATTATTTTTTCTTTTCCCCTCACCCCCAAGTCCCCCAAAACAGAAACAGATAAGAAACCCTAAAAATGTCCACAAAACGACCAGAAAAGCCAAAGAAATGCAGAGCTGCCGTGATGGGGCTTGCTCTGGGTTACAGAAGGGTGTGCGTTCCCGGAGCCTCCACCTCCTGAGGAAAGGCACAGGGTGTCCCCTGTCTGCCCGCTCTGGACAGAACGTAACTGCCCTGCTGCCTACCCCTGGACGGAGCAGAGGGAGGAAGCGTTTGGAAAGTTGCCATCAGCTCTTTCTGCCTCCTTCCTGGCCTGTCCTCCTCCCACTCGCTGTGTGGGCCGCGGAGGCAGAAGGGCAGACGGCGCAGCTCTCAGCTACACAAACTCCTGACAGCGCAGGGGGCCTCTGCTGGGCCTTTTGTCAGACTTGAACCCCACCAAGTGAAACTTTAAAAGGCCTTTCCACTGGCTCAGCCTGAATTCCTTCTCTGTCCTGGGCAAACAGCCGCCCTCCAAGGAGGACAGAGCGACCAGCCAGGAGTGCGCGCAGCAGACCATCGGGTGGCCTGCTGTGGACTCCAGCATCTGGCCGGGCACAGCCGCCGACAGAGCACAGGTAGGTGAGTCTTGTTGCACAGAAGCAGCAACACCCTCGGGCTGGCTTCATTTCCAGCAGGTGAAACCCAGGGGGGATGGAACCGACATGGCCTGAAGCTCTGCAGAGAACTTTCCGACCCTGGGCCTGCAGGTAGCAGGCTGCTGTGGCCACAGACCCAGGTGTGAGCCCCAGCTCTGCCACCTGGGAGCTCCCTGCCCCCCCGCTCCCCACTCGCAGGAGGGCAGATTCTGGGAGCGTCCCCATATAGCACCATGGGAGAATAAACGAGACAGCCCAAAGGCACTCAGGAGTGTTTGTTGATAACCCGCCAGCCCAGGGTGGCTTGCACATCTATGCAGAACACAGCTGACACTCTTGAAATTCAGCTGTGAGCACACCCTGGGCACACCTGTCCTCGGAGATCCCCCCTGTCTCCTCTGGCTCTATTCCCTGGGCATCCACTCTCTTTGTACAAGTGTTTCCAACTCAGGCTGAACTATCCTTGCTGCAGACCCCAGGAGTCGGGGAGAAGGGAAGTGGGGCGGGATCTTGCTCAGTGACCCCCTCCGCCTCCGGGCCACCATCCGTGTTCTCTTCCATGCTGACAAGTAGACACAGAGGGTCAGGAGCAAAACCGATGAAGAAAAGGTGCAGGTGGGAGGGGAGGCAGGAAAGCCAAGGATGCCTCCTGGCTCCCTCCGCAGCCCAGACGCACGGAGGCCACACCCGAGCCCCTCATCTGCCCTGCCTGGACCGTAGCCTCTCCCTCCAGCACCTACTCCCCCCCAGCCCCGTGGAAACCTGGGAGCGCTTCTCCACATTGGTCCTCAGACCTGCCAGCCGGGCACTGGACCTCTGGACAGAGGAGGAGAGTCTGGGGTGGAGGGAGCCCGCGCCTCCTGTGGGCCCCCTCAGCGGCCACTCTTGGAGAGTCTGGGAGAGAGTTAGGCCCCAGGCTCCTGAGGGAGTTTTCTTTCAGATTTATTAACCCACTTTCCCTCTTGGCATTTGGAGCAATGAGGAAACCTCAGCCGAGGCTATTAATAGGCTGAGGCCATCCCCGGGGAGGAGAATGAGCTCATACCTACAGCACAGGTGCCAAGCATAATCAAGATTGCTGAGCCGCCTAAATATAGGCTGCGGCCACGTCGGGGAGCTGAGCACAGTCCACCCCATTGCCACCTAACCCCGTTCCTTGGGCAGGGCTTTTTGTCACCTGTGCCAGAGCTGGGCCCTGCCGGGAAAGGACCTGGCTGTCACTCGGAGGTGCTTCCACCCTAGGTCAGACCTGGTGGGAGATGCCGAGGAAGGAGGGGAGAGATTCACAAAATGACATACAATATAAATGACTCCTGTAAACAGAGAGTTTAATGAAAAGGCAGTGAGGGAATTTATGGGCAACCCAAGGATAATTAAAATTATTTATCTACTTACCTCCCTTGCTGGCCGATCAGTCTGTTAATTATCTATTCTACACTCGCTGATTTGCGTTTTAGTGAAAGGACTGGGTAAGGGCAGGTGAGAAACACGGAGGGGTCTGGGAATAAGGTGGGGGGCAGGTGTGGACCCTCCTCTATAGACCACGGCTCCCCGCCGCGACACCCCTCTAGGCCACATTGCTGCCCACGACGGTGGACCCCCTCCAGGCCCCGGGCCTGAAAGTCCCCGGATCTGAGAACCAGCCTGGCGTGGAGCAGAAAGTGTGACGTGAAGGGGTGCGCACCTGTTTGCAGACAGGCAGCTCCCGGCACAGGTTCCCAGCCGAAGGGGCCTGCAGACCAGCTCGAGGGAAATACTGGCAGCCTTCCTCTGGTGGTTCTGACTTAACGCTGCATTAAAAAAAGAAAACAAGAGAACAAAACCATCTTCAATCTCTGAATATCTGGAGTGCATCAGACACATGCTCTCCCGCGCTCTTGATTAAAAAGATCACAGAACAGGGTGTCATGGGAACAACATCCTTTGAACGCTGCCACAAGGAAACGTTAGGCTGGGAGAAGTTATAACAAGGCGTCCCCACTTACCACCTCATGGTGACAGTCACTCCCAGCCCTGCCGCTCCCCTGTGGTGAGACTCGCAATATCAGAATGGATGCTGGGACCCGAGGGGAGGGTGCCAATAGGCCATGGGGTCTGGCTGGCAATGACTAGACCTGTGGTGGGGCAGCCCATGTCACCTGTACCCAACACGGCCCCCAACTCTTATCTCGAGTCAACAGAGCCTCGCTGGGGATGAGGCATTAGCATCTCCCCATTACCAGGCCAGGTTCCCCAGCCCCGGGCTAGAGTCCAGGGGTGTGGGGCTGACCACGGGCTGACCAGGACCTGCGGTGGGCACAGACCTTGAAGTTCATCCAACGTTTGACCTCGCTCGTCAAAACTGTCGGGCTCACCCCAACCGGCCACGGGAGCCAGTTCTTTGAAACAAATCTCTTTTCTTTATTTTCCCTTTTATTTATTTATTTTGTGTGAAAACGTTGGTTTACAACAGTATATAGATTTCAGGTGTACATCATTATATTTTGATTTCTGTGTAGAATACATCATGTTCACCACCCAAAGACTAATTACCATCCATCATCACACACATGTGCCCTGTCAGCCCTTTCTTGTCTTTATCATCTATCATCTATCTATCTATCTCTTTATCTCTCTCTATCATCTATCACCTCTCTCTATCTGTCTCTCTATGTACCTGTCTATCTAGATCCTATCGATTCTGTTTCTTGGAGAACCCTGACTGATTCAGGGCCTCTGGGGTCTCTCCAGCTTGCACTCCTAGAGACTGACTCTGTCCATTAACAGAACCGGAAATGCACTGTCCCCCCACCCACATGCTCTGCCCAGCACACAGTCCTCACTCCCGGGAGGAGCTGTGCCCCTGCGATGACATCGACGGGGGAGAGGGAAGGAGGAAGTGAGGCCAGGTCTGCTCGGGAACAGGGACTGCTCAGTAAGAAGCCCAGGAACACACTGGCCCTCCTGAATCTCTGTGAAGTGATGCCCCAGGCCCCAGCCCCAGCTTCCGCTCTGGCCTCAAAATCCATTCCCCCTGTCAGAGCCACGCTCCTGACATTTGCAGGACAGTTGTCTCCCCCACCCCTTCTCTGTGCGCCCGCCCAGTGGCCCCCTCCTCCTCCTTCCTGACTATGGCTTCTCAATTCTGATGATGTGTCAATAACCACAGAGCAAAATGCCACAGTTAGCAGCGCTACCGTACTGTAACTAATCGTTTTCAGAATCGATTCTCAGGGTTGTGTGTGCACAGCCAGGTGGGGCCGCGTCCCTGAAGCTGCTGCAGCCCCCAGGAATTAGGCACACCAGGAAAAGTCCCAAGAGATAAAGAAGAAAGGTGGGAAAGAAATGCAGGGGAAGACAGGAAAAGAGCAGATTTTTAAAAAGGGTAATTGGAGATTCTCAATTACACAGAGAAAAATCGAGATCAAGCCACATTCTGAGTCGGGGCAGAGACACAAAAGGACGATGGCCCCAGAAGCTCTGACTGGGATGGGGCGTGCTGGGCAGGAGGTGGATGGCCAAACCCTCCCTGAGGGCAGGGGCAGATAGCGGGCTGCCTCTCGGGTGGCAGGACCCTTCCCGGGATGGGGACATGCCCCTCTGTCCCACACAGCACACAAGGCTCAAGCCAGGAAACCTTCTGGCTCCTCTGAGCACATGAAGATCTCAGGGGTCTCTGGGATCATGAACTTAAGGTTTTATTGGTTTAATAAACCGCGTGGCTGCCACTGCTGGGTCTTCCTTGGGCCCCGAGCACTCTCGGGGGTGGGGGTGTGCTCTGCTGCTGCTCCAGCCTCCTGCATGAGAGAGCCAGCAGGAGGGAAGGGCAGGGAGCTTAGGATAATAAAGCATCTTGCTGTAACTTGTTAACCCTTACAGTGATCCTAGAGGGAAACTGAGGCACAGAGCCCTTGGGAGCACAAACTGTACACTGACATATCTGAGCCGGGGGAATCCTGCTCCAGAGCCCAGCTTGTGACAATCATGCTGTCCTTTCTCTTGTAAGGTCAACCACTGGGTAACTTGGTCTCCCCATCTGCAATGTGAACTCTTCAATAGCTGCCCTCTCTTGCACAGCCCTTGGGAAACCCTCAGCAGCCCCACTGGGGCGGGATCATGGAAGGGGGCGAGTCAGGTGGGGCCAGGGAGGCTGGACCCCACCCCAGGGGCTAGTTCAGCAAAGTGCCAGAGAGGGGACAGGGTCCCCATACTCTTCCCAAGCACAAGTCCCAGGAGAGAGCCAGAGTGAGCCCAGTGCACTGGGCTCCATGCATAGCTCATTCACCCATTCATTTAGCTATCACGTCCTGCTTACATCACCCCTCCCCAGCCTGGATCCTCCCCCCAGGCCTCTAACAAACCCCCAGGCCTGGCCGTCTGGGTGTGGGAGGGGCAGAGAGCCCTTGCCTATACTTAAGGGGGCCTGACAATGCAAATGGAAAAGTCCAGTGACACTCTCAGGGCAGGGAGAGAGGGAAGGAGGGGCCGATGGGGTCTTGCCTTGTCTTCCTGGAGATAAAGTCCAAAGGTGGACTTGGCTAGGCCTGAGGTCTGCTGTTTGTATCACTTGCCCAGAGCCTTTCCTTCCCACTGGAAATCCCTGGGGGCCCCTGGGCCTATAGCATCTCCCCCGGGGAAAGGGGTGCTCCAGCCCAGGTCTTGAGCCCACCAGATGCCCCAGACCAGGGGGCACCCCTGCCCATTCTCCCGCCTCCAGGAGCTACCCTGTGGCCAAATGCAAATACTTTCAGTCTCTGAAGGAGGCAGCTGTTTATCCTCACTTGCATCTCCGCTCCCCTACCCCGAATTGCCCAGAGGATCTGTGGTCCTGCCGGGCCAGGCCTAGGCGTTGAGCAGCCAGAGTCTTAGAGGGGTCACACCCTGTACTCAGGCTGCTCAGCATTTCAGCCACGAAGACCCGGGTCACAGCCACTCATGAAGTGGGGTACAGGCAATGGAGGCCTAACAAGAAAGCCCAAATGTTGGTGAATGGTTATCTTTCTTTCTTTCTTTTTTTTTTTTCACAAGTAGAATGGTTTCAGGTTTTGCCCTAAATCTTTCCAAGGGATAGACTGCTGTCCTGTGTGTGAGAGTAGAGGGTGGATTAAGCAACAGTTCCCCAGGGGTATGCAGAACCCCACACCTGCTGATCAACACAGGAAAGATTACAGTAATCAGGGGCATTCAAACCAGTGCAAGCTGCCATCTGTCAGCTCTCATGAGGACCAAAGTGGCCAAGATTGGCGATCTTGGGGTCAGTGAGGATGGTGGGAGCACAGACAAGTCCAGACGCTTTGGAGAGCCGTGGGCAGGATCTGGAACATTCTGAGACCCAGCCACTCGCGCTGGTACACATCTCTAGCGCACAAGGAGACAGGCAAGAAGACCCACACTGTGGCCTTCTCTGCAGTAGCAACACTTTGCAAACAACTGAATGTTCATCAAGGAAAGAGGGGCTAAAGACAGGGTGGTAGATTCCTAAGATTTCCACACAGCAGGTAAAAGGAATGGATAGAAGCACAGATGTCAGCACAGAGGGGCTACAAAAACACAATGCTGAATCAACGGAGCAATTGGCAGAAAGATGTTGTGTAAGTGCATTTTAAAAAGACATAAAACGATCTATTTACTGTTCACGGTTATGTGTGTGTAAGTGTTTTTTCAAGGGACAAAAACAATGGACACCAAACTGACACTCAGAGCAGCCTCTGATTGTGTGTGTGTCGGGGGGAATGAGGCTGAGGTGCTCAGAGGGGACTAGACCTCTATCTGTAATGCTTCGTCTCTTTTTTTAAGGGATTATGCAATATAACTAAATGTTAACCATTGCTAATTGCAGGTGGAGAAACATAGATACCTATATATTAATTATCAAAATTCCCCTCCAAGTTTTTGAAACTTGCATGGCTAGATTGTAAGTCCCTTGAGGGGTGAGAGTCCCTGATGACGCGTGTGGCCACTCAGCTGGTAGTGCAGTGTTTCACACACTCGGTGACACAAGAGAATCTCATTGGTTGGTGACCTGGATGGCCCAACAGATGAATGACATATGCAGCGGTGTGATTCTGGAAGGACCTAGATCTTCCCTTCCCACTCCCCGCCCCCCCATTGAAAGACAATAAACTAGTCTAGAATTGTTTCTTCAACTGCCTGCTGAGGTTTTCTTTAGAGACAACCAGCCTGAGCAGACGGGAAGTGGAAGCTGTTGCATTCCAAATGAGGACCCCAGGCTCGCAGATGGAATCATGTCCTCAAACGTGCTAGACTCCAGACCATCCGTGTTTCCAAGAATTCAGGGCCTCTGACTTTCCACTTCCTGAGAAATGCAAGTACAAGGCACAGTGCCCTGGGGACCCAGGCAATGGTCCTCTGAGCAAAGTTTCCCCACACTGAGAAGGACGCTAGAAGTTCTGGACGCTGATGTGGCTTCTCCTCTCTCTGGCAAGCAAACGTCTTCAAGCAGACGTGGAATCCAGAGCGTGCGAGTAAACGTGGAAACAGCCTTCCCTCCCATCCCCCGATAGATAGGACCCATTGGGGTGGAGAGAGGATTGAGCCCCCAGAGGAGTCTGCAGGGCCCGTTGTGCTATAATAAGAGGCTGATCCGGCAGGTCCGTGAGTGTGCTGGAGACAGGGCACTCCATGGCCAGAAACTCAACCAAGACCATTTCCCCGAAAGCTGCCATCTGCCATCTACTGGGCTGCACTTGCACACTTGCCCAGGCCCTCTGTGGCTGGTGCACCATCTTGAGCATGCCACGGTGGGGCAGATGTGTGCCCAGCTCGAGTGTGCCATGGTGGGCAGATG